CTCGAGTTATTTCATGTTTAATTTTTTTCAATTGCTGATCCGTTGTTTGCTGCAATATTTCAATATGTGTAACTGATTGATTAATGTACTTTGGCATTCATAAACGTAGCTTGGACAATTTTACATACATGACTTGAGCTCCAGTTACTAACAAAAAGTTCGATTTATGACTTCTTAGAGAAAATGGCCCCATCGCATGGACCCGAGTTCGAAGGTGCAAACGTAATTTGAAATGTGTTTAAGAATTTACTTTGACCGCTAAATGTATTTAAAGATAAAACAAATCCTAAACGAAACTACGGAATGGCATGAAACTAGAGGACACGTACGAGTTTACAGAAAGAACGATTATGATTTAAGTTGATAAAATGTTGTACTACAATTTAATTTGATTTGCAACTTAAGTTGATTTAAGTTGTGCAATTTTACATAAGAATTTCTCCTTCATCGGATGTTGGAACATATGAAATTTGAATTTGTCTAACAAGTGACCCTATGCAGTTGCTAGAAAAGTCCGTCGAAACAAAGAATTCTTTTGAGAAGTGCTCCTTATTAATATTAATATTAACATGGGTAAATTTTTTTATACATTATTAGTAGATAATTTTTTTATACTAACAGGTTAGATCACATTATATAAAATAAATTCAAATTTGAAATTCAAATCATACATGTAACATACATTTATGGTTGTTTGTATAAAAAAAATCATTATATTATCAATGTATAGAAAGTAAATTCTGTTAATATATGTAATTCGTCCTATTTTGGTGCACTAATTAACACTTTTGGGCTCCTATTAACAGATGATATTATTTGAAAGCATTAGGGAGGGAGTGCCCACACATTGCACGGGTATTTGGTACCTGTGATTAAAAATGTTTTTTAAATAGTTGTTTGTTGGTGGTTGTGTTGTTATTTCGTGGAGTTTCGAAAGTATTTAAATTCATAGGAAAGTAAATGAATGAAGATAAGAGTGGGATATCATACTAAACGATAATACTTCATAGCATATGTTTCAATAATAGATTGTCTGCAAAGGCCATTTAAGTCTCCCTTTCTTTAAATTATTATTCAACTTACATTTCACAGATTATGGGTAATTTCATTAGCTATATGTCTGCTCTTGAGGCTAAAATGTTAATCAACCTGTTGATCAAGAAGGACTATAGCATCTGTAAAAAAGCTATTTAAGTTTCCCTCTCTTCAGATTATTATTCAATTTACATTTCATGAATTAGAAGTAATTTCATTAGTTATGTGTCTGTTTTTGGGGTTAAAATTCAAAGACACACTCATCTTGTATAGTGTGAGGTTTTGTTTCCCATCATTTTGGTTCATCTTTTTAGCTTTTTGCAGCAATTTTAGTTTTGTTTATTTGTATAAGAAATCATTCATTATTCTATAATATAAGAGAGCACTCATTGAAGTTGTTTGCTTGATTGCTTGAAGGAGTTTTTACAAATTCATCACTGCCTCTATTACCTTTGCTTAATTAGAAGGTATATGTAAAATACTACCAATATGAATGGCTTAGTAGGGGTTTATTTATTAATTCATTAGTGACTAAATAATTCAAACTCAAATCAGCAGTATACCATGTAACTTACCAATTCACAATGTTTCAATATCAAATTACTATCAAAATGAATTTCATATATGAATCACTTACTACATGCAGCAGAAAACACACCATAATTGAAGTAATTAATTAAAGTACTTTTTTGGATTACCTTGTTCTAGATACCCCTTAGAAAACTTTTTCTCGCAGTTGCTCCAAACCTATTACATCATAACCGCACCATTCAAATTATACAGACCAACCAAATTTGTGAAAAAATCATAATATTACAGTTAAATTACGTAATTAGATTTTCAAATTTTGAGATGAAAGCAGTCACCGACGCTACACACCACCAAACTCACCCACATAAACAATAAAATTAAGGAACAAAACTCACCTCAAGCTAAACCACCGAAAAACCGATACTGAGGCATTAATTCATTAACATACCCACGTTTCCTTCAGTTTAATTGAGATGTAAATGGCAAAAACAATTGAATATGTTTCAGGCAATTGAATATCCTCAAGTGATAAGATTACAGTAATGTGTCCTCATTTCAATTGCACAATAAATACTACACTTCAAGTAAATGTGTCTGTAACACCATTTAAGTAATTACACCAATATATATACTCGATACAAAAACGATTATAAACAATCTCACATTCCAAAAATATCCTAATGTCTCCATAAATTTACGCTTTAAATGTACAAACATGAGGAGATTTCTGTACATATACCAAAACACATGCTACCATCACCTGTACCCAAAGCTAAAAATAAACTCTACATCATTCCACATTTCAAAAATGCTCCTATCGGTTGAAATTCAAAACCTCTTTTTGACTACAACTCATTCTTATATAGTATAAGGAAGTGTGCGCTTTGACTTAAATAAACGTGGAACATAAGCCGATATGCAGATGATCTTCTATTTATTGCATCCTAAAAAACTAGACTTGTCAATCTGATTCCAAAAAACTAGGCCTATCAATCAAGCCATTTGAGTCCGACTTTAATAAGTCCAAATTCAACCCATATAGTTAGTATCACTTTCGGATCTTGAGTTATGAGTTTTGGGTTGATAAACGTAAAACTCATACTTGACTCACAAAATATTCTACTGTGAGCCTAACTTGGGTTTAACCCAATATAATTATTAGAACTATTAAGTTTTAAAATTAATTTAATATTCATATGACCACAACATTAAAACTTTTAAAAAAAACACAAACTTGAAATTAATATAAATGACAGGTAGCAATAACATAATAGTGAGCTTGCACCGCTAACTCATGGGCAAGAAGGACTTGGTCCCTGCCAACTTTATCTAATACAACTTTAGAATAGAAAGACGACATAGTTATAACATCATTAATAACATGCCTAATATTAGAGGTGATTTAGACGACATACAAAGGCAAGATTTAGTAATTATATATTTATTTGGATATAATTATATACACCTATTATATAGATAATTATACATATAGGTATAGATTAACGAGCCAAGCATGTATGAGGTTTGAGGCTAATAAAGTTCAATTTCGACTTGCATTTAATTCGAGCTTCATATTTAAGTTAAATTCAAGCTAACTCAATGAAGGATTAGATTCATCAATTTTTTTTCAGGTTGAGTAGGCCCAACTAACTCCAATCCGATCCTATTGACAGCCCTATCAAAACAACCCTTCACCTTTAAAAAAAAAAAAAGTTACCTTGAGTACAATAAGGGAAGTTACGAACGTTGTCAGAAACTTCACGCCTTTACCTTGAAATTGAAACTAGGAGAATAACACCGCGCGATGCGCGGTGTAATTTTCAATCTTGCCCATAAATGCCCAATTATTCAAATTCAAATATTAAATATAAAAAAAATTATTAGATGCCTCTCCTCATGGACGAAATGGAAGATTTCATCTGTTGCAATGGAAAATAATAGGTACAAAGCTTTCTACAATGCTAAAAAGTTTCGTTGTTTCAGCAGCTTTTTTAACTATGAATTTAAAACTGTCTTGATCCCATTTATATTCAGATAAACATATGAGCAAATTAAATCCTACCATATGCCAGAAAGTGCAGTAGACTGCTCCAAATCGTTTTCTTTCTAAAGATCTCAACACAAGGCCAACATGTCAGATGATAGAAGATGCTCAACACAAGTTTAAGTGAGTGCACACCTACATGCAATAGGCAATAAGTGAGTGAATGCATGTTAAGTGGAGGTCATGACAGGATCTTAGATTAATTAGACAAGTGACTGCAGAACCTACAAGCACAGGAGCCCCCTGGTCATAAACAAATTTAATAAGTAAATAGATGTTAATTAGTCATACTTCTTTTCCATTTGATGTTCTAACCACCCTCATAGATACACTAACTGCCAAGATCTAGAAAAAGAATGACCTCTCAGGTATAGAATGGTGAGAAAAAATCACATTTACCAATTGCCCATGCATGCTCTTGTTTGGTTGCGTATAAGAAATTAACTACAGAGAAGATGCGGCCATATCGAAATCACTAAAATAATAAGGTTGTACACATTTTTTATATTAAATAAATTGACTAATCAGTATTCATATGATTGATAGAGCATTTAGAAGTATCAGAAATGAAAAACGGTTGAAGGAAACAAGAGGTTTATATTTTGAGAAAGGATCATTAAACGAGGGACGTTTTTTTTTTCCTAAAAACAACTGTAACAATGAGAATGAATGTACTAAACCTGCATTTTTTTTGCTGAAAAAGTCCCAGATGATACCTACAAAAAATAATCGAACTAATATCTAAACTAAGATTTATCTAAACTAAGATTGAGCACAAAATTAATGTACATTCAGAAAGTTACAAATAAAAGATCAAACAGCCAATAAATTCTTCTGATGTCTTAGACGTGTGATAATGCTTCCTGTTTAGCTGAAGGTATTTTCTTCAAAGCTAGTTGTGCAGCATCCTTAAGCTGCAATTTTTTAGTAGGTAAATCATTAGAAAATAAAATGATGGTTGGCAGTTCCATAACAGTACCATTAAAATGACATACACTCAAATTTGCCTTAACATGATTCCACAACGGAGGTAAGTCAGCAGAGACTTTTTGCACAGAAAGCTCTGGAGGCTTTGCATTCTTGAAAAAGGAATGTTTCAATAGTTTCTCTGCAGTTGACCTCTTTGTCAAGTCTTTCACCAAGCACATTGCAACCATTTCTTTAAAACACTGTTCGAAATTGAGGAAATGCTTTAGCAATAAAAAACATAAGAATGAGGAAATGCCGAAATAGAAACAAACAGATAGAATATGGATCTAACTTGGTGTCCTAGAGAAAGTTTATATCTAAGTAGAAACAAACAGATAGAATATTGATCCAGTTTGGTGTGCTAGAAAATGTTTATATCTAAGCACGGTAGCCAACTATTAGAAGAAAAAGGACATGCCTTGGAGAACTTTTTATCGCGGTCATAATCAAGTCCAGGAGGCGCATTTTGTATGGTCATCAAAGGAACCTACCAAAACGAGGAAGTTCCATTAAGTGCACAACTACAGTTCAAGAACATGTTGCATCAAGTTCATTATTGTTATCTGGTGTTGTTGCATATAACGTCCATACCTTCATTGGGGGATATTTCGAGAATGGTGCATGACCATGAGCCAACTCCAGTGTGGTGGATTCCAAATGAGCAGATATCAGCCCTGATACAAAGAAAAATCACCATTTCTTTCACAAAACTATGAAACCAAATTATGCACAAAGGCCATTTTAGTGTTTCTGGAATTCATTAGACACAATGTTTACTTAATTTCTCTTCTTTCTTTCAGGTTTTCCCTTAGCTCTAATTTGCTGCTCATGACAAGCTCTAGGTTGCAAACTTAAAAGGAACATATACTAACAACCTTCTAATCCAACTAAAATATATTAGTCACACTACTTCCCACTTAAGTGGCGAAAATTGGAGCATTCTATACGCAAAGACCATTCCCAGGGACTGATTTTCCATACACTCAGAGTTTCCTTTGCCACTGACTGTAAGCTCTCGTAAAACAAGTACAATTAAAAGGAACATATACTAACAACCTTCTAATTCAACTAAAATATATTAGTCACACTACTTCCCACTTAAGTGGCGAAAATTGGAGCATTCTATACGCAAAGACCATTCCCAGGGACTGATTTTCCATACACTCAGAGTTTCCTTTGCCACTGACTGTAAGCTCTCGTAAAACAAGTACAATTAATATATAATAAAAAGCTTAGCCATGCTTGTTTAACATATAAAAAGAGGTAAAAAATTTTACAAGAAGATGAGCACCACATTGTCCCCAGCTGGCATTTCTCGGCATAATGAAGCAACTATATCGGCATAATCATTAATATCTAGCCTCATCAACTTCACTGCATTCATAAGAAAAGGTCTGACTTTAGTTGAGCAGTTCTTTAATACTCTCTCCTAACCAAGAGGAAACGGGTGAAGTAATCTGAGGCAAACAATAAAGGTAACTGAGTAATAATAAAACAAGAACAAGAATAAATGAAACAGAGATCTATACAAGGAAGGGTACCTCGTTTTCCTTTTGCACACTAGCTAGAATCGGCTTTAAAAGACCCAATGGGATGTCATCACTCTCATCTAAAAGCCAAGTCATAATATCTTCCATGTATGAGAATACAGCTTGTGGGTGGTTGAACCTTGTATTAGACATTCAAACACAGAACAACAATCAGCACATGACAATTGAATGTGTTGACTTGCATGAGACAGGTGCAAGATTAGCAAATGAATACCTCTAATTTGTTTAATTTGGTACAACTTTCTAAATTACTCCGTTAGGCTAGTTGCATTGCATACGATGAGTTGATCACTCAACAACAAATAATAAAGGTTTGCCATGAGTCGAGCAAAATTTTCAATTTCATTGCTGCTAAATGAGGAGTTCACGAAGTTGAAAGCAGATCATATTTGCAGGAAAGAAGGTTGAACATAATGGGAATGCTATTACAAGTTCGAATTCAATGCTATTACAAGTTCGAATTCAAGATAACCTTAATTGTTAGTATTAGAGTTAATTTAAAGAAGCTAACAAATATCAATTACTACAAGACCCAAAGAGAAAAGGCAGTTAATCAAAATGTCTTGACAATAAAAATACATATTAAAAATTAGCTGTAACATCTTAGCCTTACTTAATGGTACTTAGAAGGACTTCGAAGATTTTAGTGACCAATGAGTCGCAGCCTATGTCCAGCAAGATGATGCAGCATTTGACCTTCGCAACGATTTCAAGAATGTGCAAAGCTTTAGCATAGCAGCGACCAGAGAAAAGCGACAACTTCTCGAATGCAGCTAAAGTGAACCGAAAAATATCTTGTACAGCATGCAAATGAAAAGGCTGAGAACTGGCTCTAAACAAGTATACAACAGGAAGCAGACAAACAAATACAGAAAAGAGTAAATACTGTTGCAGGTGTTCAGCTTACCTTCATTCTTTCATTCTCATAAGGTTGATACGGAGAACTAATCCTTAACACCTCACAGATGCAAGACATAACTGAAATCCTGACATCTGTATTAGGATGTCTAAGCAGCCTATCAGAGATCAAAGCCATCATCGAAGGCAAGAGCCCATCTTGAATCAAACTGGAAGGATCTTAACCGAAAAAATAAATTAAAGAAAATCGCACAACCTGAAAAGTTGATTCTTTTTCTCCTTCTCGTGGACTTTCAATCCATTGTCCTCAATCTATGAGAAGCAAAATGTGATTGTGAGTAACTGCAAATTCAAGAAAATAAAGAAAGAAACAAAAACTAAACCCAAAAACATCAAAGTGCCTTCTTTGTTTTCTTCTTTTTGTTGATTAACAAAGAAGAAAGAAAGCATGTAGATGAATGATAGATTCGGTCATCGTTTGAGAGAGAGGGAGAGCAAGAGAGGAAGAGTGTTCGTCTGAGCTCTGAGGGAGACCGAGACGGAGAAAGTGAGATGAAAACAGTGGTAAATATCTGTCATAGGACACTTTTTTTTTTTAAGGAACAATGGAATCCAAAGTAAACTCACGTGAGGAGCACAGATTTTGGTCTAACACTCTCTAGCCAATAACCATTGACCACATCACCACCACAAGCACCTCTTTTGAGATATGGCATCCCCCTTTTATATATATGTTAATTAATTAACAAAAGAGTAATTCTTAATTGTTCTCAACGAAGGCAGAGAAAAGGATTGAATTAGAAAAATCATAGTGGCCTTGGATGAGGGAGATAGCTATAAGATGGGTTGGTACTTTTCAACTTTGCCAACAATAGAAGAATCGAAGCTCGGGCCTTGGGTTTTGCCAGGGGATTTTTCTATAGAAAAAGGAGAGGAAGAGGAAGAGTGGGAGGCAGAGTTTCTTGTCGATTTTGGCACTGAAAAATAATAGATAGAAACATGAAATAAACAAATAAACAGGGTAAAGAAAATATAGGGAAAAAAAGTAGTTAAGCAAAGCAAACAAAAGAAAGAATTACAAGAGATGAGGAAAAACCGCGGAAGACCCTATACAAAGTGGTTTATGAAGGGAATGAAAGCAAAGTTCCAATTTTTGGACTTGCAATACCACAAAAAATAAACAGATTAGATAGCCCAAAAATATCTTTTAAACGAAAAAATCATAAAAGAACTTTCTCAAATTTGTTAAATGCATTCTGATACTTTTTAGTTGCGAAAAAAAATTAAGATTCTTTCCAATTTTTATTTTTTTAAAAAGATAACCAAATAGAATGCACGTTATTAAAGGGGAAAATTTTACAGAATCTGATGTTGGAAGAAATTTCCAATTTTTTGCACCTACAACATATATATACAAATTAATATACAAAAATTAGACTACTAAACCCCACAAAAAATCCAAAAGGTTAGAGAAGTACTAAGCAAGAAGAAGAAATTACAATGCAAAAAAATCATGTGTCGTGCACAACATCCTTTCACGACCATTTTACATGACTCAATTAGGCTGAAATTCCATGTTTTTCTTTTAAGCTGCTTATTTTTCTTCTCATCTTCTACTTTTGATCAGGAGAAAGAATTAAAAAAATTTACAATAAAAAATGCATAGCAAACTTTACCACGATAGCTAGCTAGCTTATTTACCACAATCACAGGCATAGTAGTAGAAGATAAAGACAAGCAAATCACTGAGCTTTCCCCTTAATGCTTCCTAATTCTCCCCCTTCAGTTAGAAAATTACACAAAATACTTGCATGCATAACCAATAATAAAACAAAATGTTTCCATAGTTTACAATCAATGCCAAAGTAATGCAATAGTTTCATTAGAAATGATTTGACCTTTTTTATTTGATAAAAACTCAAGACTATGATTCTTTGCGAGCCTTAGCTCATTTTATTCTTAAGCACATTTATTTTGTTATAGCTATGTCACCTTAAGTTGAATCACAATTTTCATTCTCAAGGTGAATTGTGAAAAATCTTTTGCAAATTAAAAGAAAGTCACCACCAGAAAAAATAACAATACCTCACCATGTAAAGTGCAAATGAGTGAAACTCTTTTATTACCAGAAGTACTAAAAGCATATTAAAGAAAATAGTAGAAGAAAAATGCTTAAATCCAAACAACACTTCTGCCTCATAGAAAGAGAAAATTCCACCATTCATTTCACAAGCACAAAATGAGATTTATCATTAATTTTTTGAAGTCAAGCATCCCATGAAATTATCATCAAAAGTCAAGCCCCTCTAGGCTGTAAACAATTCCAGTCAACAACTTATATATTGGAAGGTTTACAAATTGAGAGAAACCTATGACGGACAAAAAATCTCACTTCTACTTTTTAAAAAGGGATTAAAGATTAAAAAAAATAAAGCAAGATTTGCCCCAGTGGAATGAACCACTGATTATTTGCAAGCATCAAATGCAAAGCATTATTTATTGTCTTCATTCAAATGAATTCATTGAAATTAACAGATATGGAACTTGGCAAACTAAAATCGAACACCCAAGTATTAGCAAATACATGAATGTCAATGGTTTTAATAATCAGTGCACAAGTTGAGACTTGAAAATTTAGAAGAAGTAGAGTCCTATTTCGTATCACTTAGAACATATTTAACATAATACCAAAAGCATATAATTAAATACAAATTCCTGATAATACATAGCTGCACTGGACAAACAAAACACATACATATTGTAAAAGGCCCACAATTTCTTGATAACTATTAAAGAACAGAAAGTATGACAGAAAGTACCTTAACTAACTGCTGAATGTTAGATAACAAATCATAATATTCATCGGCTCAATATAGAGAACCTGACAATACATATTGAATTAGGTAAATTGGAAAAAAGAGATTAAGACAAGGTAAAATCATCTATTGAATGTGTGTGATAAATGAGGTGGAAAGAAAAGCCATCTTAAAAGGTAATAATACATATTAGTGTATAACACATATTTTGTTATAGCTATGTCACCTTAAGTTGAATCACAATATCATTACCTGTACAACCTGTAGGAAATTATGTATCACCTTAATGGCCTCCAAAACTTTTGAGAACTCCAACTTATCTTCATTCTTCACTGAGGTCAGGCACAAGACTGATGTAGTTTTCTTATGAACAATCTGCGAGAGAGTGTCAATTACATCAGTCCTGGCTACAAAAAAAGCGTCCAAAAAGGCTCCACAAAGAAGGAAACTTACCACTCCCAATCGCGATTTTCCCTTCACAATACAATAGGGAATTTCCATCTTCCTGCACAAAGCAGGAAGCCAAACAACCAACTCGATTGGGTCCACATCGTGAGCAACAATTGTGCCTTGTTCAGCAGAAAATAATTTCTATGAGCCACAGCTTGTACTACCAAGAGTGAGACACTACAGAAAACGAACAAAATATAGAAGAAAAGTACGATAAAGACCTGTTCAACAAGGCACGTCACATGCTGTAAACTGTATTTGACAACGATTGGCTTCTTAGCATCAGAAGCTTTCCCTTTAGCCTCAGCTTGAGCTGTCTTGAGAAGACGCTCTTTTTTGGCTGCCTTGTCCTCAGGCCTGTACTTGAGAAGCATCTTGAATAGATTTGTTGCTGCATATCAATGGAAGCATCAGAAAATACATACATTGGCAAGAGAAAAAATGAAGCAGTGAAATGGCAACCCCGAAAGGAAACAGGATATCTCCTTGACTGGTATTATTAAGATAGGGACAAATTTAGAGACTCCCTTAAATCTACCACAGCAAATTATTAGCTTTTACCAATTTCATGACAACAGATAGAGCGACACATTACGACTCAGTTTCTAGTCATCGAAGAGATTATAGGGGAAGACAATGTACAATTACCATGTACAAATATTATGATCCGAGCAACCTCAATTTCTTTCTATTTACCACATCTGGCATATCCAGTTGGCTAAGAACCATAAAAGAATGATTTTTAAATTTACATAAAGATTTCATTTCCTATTTAATTACAGCAACACCGTTTGCCCTGCTCAACCATGGGATCCTATTCTACGCAATCATCAGAGAGAAAGGGGGGGAATAAGAATGAGTAAGCATTTGAAGTATGATTACAAGTGCAATAGGTGATCAATATGCGAGAAAGCACAGATTTATGTCAAGAAAATAACTGGATTTTTCTTTACAGCAGTCAAATACCAGACCAGGGTTGTCAAGATGGTGCAATCAAGGTGAACAACTTAGAGTCCCGATAAAAATCATCGTATAACATTAAGAAAAAGGGGAAACAGCATAATAAATAAAAAGCGAGTGAGGGAGAGGCGACCAAGATTTTTTGTCGAGTCTTGGAGAACTGGTTGAGCGTCGGAGGAACCTTCAAGCACTGCCTGAGGATCCTCTCCTTCCTCTGGATCCGGACATTGAGAGGCCATTTGATGAACCTGGTGAGATCCTTCTTCGGTGGGAGGGCTCCTCGAATTCCAAACTGCTTCGGACGCTTCTCGAACAGAGGATTCGCCACCTTCTCGATTTTCCTCCTCGCCACTGCACCTGGAGCCCTCGCACCTCTCTTTGGAGCCTTCAAAACAAAAAAAAAGCATCCATCAATGACAACACAAAGAACTCAAAATGTCAGAGATATGGCCTTTTTTTCAAAACCAAACGAAAGATTGGAAATTAGAATGCAGCATCTGCATATATGTGTATCAGTAACAATCATCATCGAGAAGACAGAAATAACTTGGTGGTGAAGAGCCGCCTTACCATTTCGTTGCCTGAGGGGTTTGGAGAAACAACGGCGCGACGTCAAAAACCCTAGGGCTTAGTTTAGGAGTTTAGGTCTTGTTAGAATAGAATTAGAATTAGACGTTATCAGTTAGTCAGTTAGAAGGAAAAACAGAGAAACAATGAAAGAGGAAAAATGAAAACAAGTTGGACGAACACTCTCCAACCAAGATGTGAGACAATAGTAATCATCTGCATTTTTCTGTTTTGGTCCCTTGGGTAAAGGAAGAAAGAAGAAAGGGAAAAAAAAAAGAAATGAAAAGGTCGGCTTTCAAAGAAGAAAAAAATGGAGAAGTGGAGGTGGTTGGATGTAGTTTTTCATTTCTGAATGATAATGATCAGGGTGACGAAAAAGAAAGAAAGTGAAAACAGAGGAAGAAAGGGAGTAATGGAGGCGGTGATGATGAAGAAATGGAGAGGGGAAAGTGTAGAGTGGGAGATGACTTGTGACGGTGATCTGCAAATCAAATCAGGGGAGAGGAGGAAAATTTTTTGTCCACTACTTCTCCCAAATTCTAACCAGTCAATCAATCAAGTCTGCGGTGTAAAAGGCCACAAAAAGTGGCCTGCAGAGCAAATGGTGAACAGTAACAGCATCGTGGGAATAAAAAATTTGGACGAACACTCTTTAGCCAATCACAATTGGCCACATCACCAACACAAGCACTCAATTCGGCCATTGCATTCGCTCTTTTATACATATGTATAATAATAAGAGTTTGCCCATTCTAAAATGCATCATCCAAACCGAAACTACTAACCACCGTGACACTAAAGGACACTGTAGGATGTTACCCAGGATTATATGTGTGCGTCCTACAAAAACCTTTACCTTGAGTAGATTAGGGCATGTTACGAGCATTGTCATAAACTTCACGCGCGCGATATTCATCTAAGCTCAAAGGTTTGCACCTTTAGGCCGGGACATAGGACGCATGATACATTAGGTTGCATTTGGATTGACATTTTATAGAATTTTTGTAAAAAAATATACTGTAATGATTTAATGTATACAAGGTAAAAAGGTGATTAGGAAATATGAAAATAAAAATATAAAAAAAATTCTTTAAAACTTCAATCTGAACATGGCCAAATCCAAGCCACTCCACCCTATTTTGGGCCTGCTCAACTTAGAGCCCGTGCATCTTGAGTTCTAAGTTGTAATTTAACTCACTCAATTAAACAAACTAAAAGAAATATGAAATCAGTTGCATTTGGATTACTATGTTTTGAATTTTTTATAAAAAAATATATTGTAATGATTTGATATATGTAAGATAAAAAAGTAATTGGAAAATATGAACCAATGGCTAGCTCAACTTAGAGCCCTTGCATCTTGAGTTCCAGCTTGTAATTAAGATCACTTAAATAAACAAACCAAAAGAAATATGAAATCTAAATGAAGGCATCAAAAATTGGTCACATTGGGATTGTACATCTACTTTTCTCTCTTATGGAAGATTAAACTTGACCTTCGTAAGGAAAATGTTAGGAAAAAGGAAAAAAAAAAAAAAAAAAAAAAGGAAGCAGCAGCTTTTGCAAAATTGAATATGAAAATTACTTAATATTAATATTTACATGAACAAAAAAAGTAAAATGTACAATGTGTTTTTTTCACACAATAGTGGAGCACTCTAAAGTGTTAGGGTCAACAAGGGCAGGCAAAAGATACTTTCTCCCATTTGTACCCACTGCATTGTAGCTTGCACCAGTGGTTTTATCCCATTTGTACCCACGCATAACATTGACTTTGTAGTCAAATTTTAATTTAATGAATTAGAAAGTGTAAGATTTCTTTTTTCTTTTAACTAAGTTGGAAAATATTTGTTTTTCAAGAATATTTCTATGTAAAAAGCATCAAATTTTGCACTGCCCCCATGCCCTTGAATGATTCTGATGATGCTTGGTATCGTACATCTTATGCCTTGCAGATGCCAGTATTTGACAAATGGATATCTAGATACTGTTCTAGATTGGATTCCAGGATTAGAGGGTATACGCTTGAAGGATCTTCCAAGCTTCTTACGAACTACGAATCCCGATGATTTTGTGCTGAAATTCATGATGGAAGAAACTCAGAGAGCTAGAAAGGCTTCTGCCATCATTATAAACACCTATCAACCACTCGAACATGGTGTATTAGATGCACTTTCATCTTATCTTCCTTCAATTTACACCATTGGACCACTACACTTGCTAGAGAATCATGTGCATGATAAGTCTTTGACAGATATTCAATCAAATCTCTGGAAGGAAGAGCCAGAATGTCTTGAATGGCTTGATTCGAAAGATCCAAACTCTGTGGTTTATGTCAACTTTGGAAGCATTGCTGTTATGACACCTGAGCAACTAGTAGAATTTGCTTGGGGACCCGACTTGCTAATAGCAAACGAAACTTTTTGTGGATTTTAAGGCCAGATCTTGTCTCAGGCAGTTCTGCTATTCTGCCAAGTGAGTTTCTTGAAGAAACCAAAGAAAGAAGCATGTTTGCAGGCTGGTGCCCTCGAGAAAGTTCTCAGCCATCCTTCTGTTGGAGGATTCTTAACTCATAGTGGGTGGAATTCCACAATCGAAAGTATTAGTTATGGGGTGCCTGTGATCTGCTGGCCATTTTTTGCTGATCAACAAACTAATTGCTGGTTTTGCTGCACTAAATAGGGTATTGGAATGGAGATAGACAATAATGTCAAGAGGGATGAAATTGAAAGCCTTGTTAGCGAGTTAATGGCTGGGGAGAAGGGCAAGGAAATGAAGAAGTAAGCCATGGACTGGAAAAAACTGGCAGAAATGGCTGTGATAGATTCTAACTCAAATCTTGAGAATTTGATTCATCAAGTGCTTCTCAATCCAAGCATTTGAAACATCAAGAACCGTGAATCTAAAGAGTTGTTCTTCGACTCGTTGAATTTGGACTTGGTTAGAGATTTTCTTTTTAATCACTCGTAATGCATTGTTCGTTTTCAAAAATGCTTCTTGAGTTCTTTATTTCTTGTTTAATATTTTTCATTGTGATAAGAGACAGAAAAGATAACAATACTACTGTGGCCGAAAGTCATATTTAATCATAACCTTTTGGAGCCTTTAAATAGGCAAAACGCACAACTGAAATCCCTAAAGATCAGGTCCCATATCTGGCACCTTCTCCATAACCCCACTACTCCTAAAGACTAGACCATTAAGCCACTAAATCTGCTGACTAAATCATAACTGAAAGACTCCAACGTACATAGCAAATTCCTAAACTCTAGGCCACTAAATGATTGACTCCATTTGAAAAACAAGTTAAACAATAACATAAGTAAAAGTTTCAACAATCCCTCCCTTAAGCTGATGTTTGCTAACATCAGTTTACAACCTTGACTGAACCTAGGTTGCAGAGACCTAGTAATCCTCTGAGTTTCACAAACGATTCTCTCTTGAGCGCCTTGGTGAATATATCAGCAACTTGATCATCACTCTTACAATGCATCAAATCAACAGTTCCATCTTTGCAAAGATCTCTCAAAAAATAAAGCTTTACATCGATGTCCTTGCTTCTTCCGTATAGCACTGGATTCTTTGATAACTTGATTGTAGAGCTGTTATCACATAGTATTATAGTGGCTCCACATTGCTTGAACTACAACTCCTCAAGTATTCTTCTCAGCCATATGGCTTGGCAAACACAAGCCGTAGCTGCAACAAATTCAGCTTCTGTACTGGATAAGGTGACAATTGGTTGCTTCTTTGACGACCAGGAGATTGCACCTGTTCCAAGCATAAAAACATAGCCAGAAATGCTCCTTCCATCATCTTGATCTCCTGCATAATCACTATCAGTATAACCCACCAAGTTAGATTTTTCACCCTTCTTGTAATATATCCCTAGGTTTCGAGTTCCTTGCAAATAACGAAGGATTCTCTTGACGGCTAACAAATGCAGCTCCGTGGGACTTTCCATATATCTGCTGATTAAACTCACAGAATACATTATATCCGGCATTGTTGCAGTAAGATACATTAAACTGCCTACAATTTGCTTGTAGAATGTGCTATCAATCTTCTTTCCATCATGATCTTTGTGTAACTTCACGCCACATTCAATTGGAGTACTTACAGAATTGCAATCCTTCATCTGAAATCTGTTCAAAATTTCTCCCACATATTTTGTTTGACATAGAAAAGTTCCATCATCTGATTGCATTACTTCTATGCCAAGAAAATAATGCATCCAACCAAGATCAGTCATTTCAAATTCAGTCATCATGGATTTCTTGAATTCTCCAAACATGGTATCACAATTTCCAGTAAATATAAGGTCATCAACATACAGGCAGACTATAAGAAGCTTCCCCCCATCTTCAATCTTAACAAACATTGTACGCTCATAAGGACATTTTATAAAACCAACTTTAAGAAAATAAGTCTCAATTCAACTATACCAAGCCCTCGGAGCTTGCTTTAATCCATAAAGAGCCTTTTTCAGTCTAAAAACTTTATTCTCATTCCCAACTTTAATATAGCCAGGAGGTTGCTCAATAAATACCTGCTCCTCCAAATACCCATGCAAGAATGCTGATTTGACATCTAGCTGGAAGATAGGCCAAGAATTTTGAGCTGCTAATGCAACCACCAATCTGATCGTGTCATGTCTTGCAACTGGAGAAAATACTTCTGTATAATCAACCCCGTACTACTGCTTATATCCTTTTGCCACCAGGCGTGTTTTGTACTTGTCAACACCGCCATATTTGTTTAGCTTTGTCTTGAAGACCCATTTGACACCGATGGTTTTATGTCCCTTAGGAAGATCACACAACTCCCAAGTGTCATTCTTCTCAATTGAATTGATTTCATCATCCATTGCCTTTTGCCATTTTTCTTCTTTGACGGCACTCTCAAAAGTTGTAGGATCACAATCTGCGAACAAAGCAAAATGAGTAATTGGATTACTTAACCCAGTTACCTCACAATCTTCCATCCAAGCAGGCCTTCTTCTAACTCGACCAACTGACCGGGCTCCTTCTTCATTTACTTTAGCAACTGGTTGTGAAATTTCAGTGACTGTTTGAGTTGTATCTGAAGAGTTTTGTGGCATGACAAGTGCTGGAACTTGCTCCTGTTTAGCATCATCATCATAAAGGGCTTGTTTAGGCTGCCGCCCATCCTAATCCCAGGTGCTTTCTTCTTCAAAAACAACATCCCTGCTGGTCACAATCTTCTTCGTTAGTGGGTTGAATAATTTATAGGCTTTGGATGATTCACTTACACCAAGAAAGATGCATTTCTCAGCTTTGTCATCAAGCTTTTTCCTTTTCGCATCCGGGATGTGGGCATAAGCGAGGCAACCAAAGATTCTAAAGTGATCTACAACTGGTCTTCTTCCACTCCAGGCCTCTTCAAGAGTCTTGTTTTGAACAGCAAAAGTTGGACTTTTGTTTAAAACATGAATACTCCAGTTTACAGCCTCCGGCCAAAAGGTCTTTGGAACTCTTTCTCTTGTTAATAGAGTTCTCACCATATTAAGAATTGTTCTGTTATTTCGCTCCGATACACCATTTTGTTGTGGTGTATGTGTAGCTGTAAGTTCTCTTCAAATGCCATGTTACATGCAAAAAGCTTCAAATTCTGAGCAATACTCGCCACCTCGATCTGTTCGAAGAGACTTAATAGCCTTGCCTGCTTCATTTTCCACAAGAGCTTTGAACCTTTTAAATATAGTAAGAGCTTCTGATTTTTCTTGTAAAAAATAAGGATTAATCTTTCCTACACTGACAGTGTTTACACTATCAGCGTTGGATGAATGACAACTATGCAAATTTGAATTTGAAATTCAACTTTTGCACACATGTCATGAATCTAACGTTGATAGTGTATACACCGTCAGTGTAGGAAAGATTAACTCAAAAAATAAACCCACGTTTTCCTTGAAAAATCATCAATAAAGGTAATTAAGTATCTTTTACCTCTATTAAAGGATGGGTTTATTGGGCCACAAATATCTGAATGCACTAGCTCTAACAGATCCTTTGCTCTCCAAGACTTTCCTTTGGGAAACTGAGAACGATGTTGTTTGCTGACAACACAGTCTTCACAAATTAGGGAGGGAACAGTAATTTCCGAAGGCCCTGTCATCATGATTTTCTGTTGTAGAGCCCTCAGTCCCCCAAAACTTAAGTGGCCATAACGAAAATGCCACAACCATGAGGGGTCCTTTACTTCACCCATCAAACAAGATTGAATGCTTTCAATTTTCATTGGAAATAATCTATTAGAACTCATTTAGACAGTCGCAATAGGACTTCTTCTATCAGGATCATAAATTTCACAAGTGCCATTCTTAATTGTAATGACATACCCCTTTTCTTGCAATTGACCAGCACTCAACAAATTACTTTTCAAATCAAGAACATACAACAATTAGAAATAGTTTTCACAAGGCCATTCTTAGTATGTATCTTAACATCACCTTTTCCCATCACTTTCACAGTAGAGAAATCACCAAAACTGACAGTAGAGTGAAAACTTTCATTTAGATTCGAAAAAGAAGACTTACTTCCACTCATGTGATTGCTGCAGCCTGTATCGACATACCAAATATTCGACTCAATCTTTTTTCCTTCATGGACAGCCATCAACAAAGTTTCTGGTTCATTCGTTTCTTCGGCAAAATTTGAGTTCTCCTCTCTTTCTTTATAATTTGGCAGCTCAGTGACACATTCAGAAGCATAGTGACCATATTTGTGACATCTAAAGCACTCTACCTTAGATTTGTCATGATCTCGATCTCCCCTTCCTCTTCCTCGGCCTCTACCTCTTCCTTTTGAGCTGTTAGAGCGAGTGTTGGTAGAACCTTTTAAAGCTTGTTCCTCTGCTGTCTAGCCTCGATTCATCTTCTGTTCATGGACTAACAAAGACCTCTGCAATTTATCAAGAGAGAGGTCATCTATGTCATTTGACTCTTCAATTGAGCATACAACATAGTTAAATTCTCGCGTCATAGAACGCAGAATTTTTTCTACTATGTTAACATCTTTAATCTCTTCTCCATAGCATCTCATTTTATTTGCAATTTCCATCGTCCTTCCAATAAAGCTTGTAACAGATTCCCCATCCTTCATCTGCAAAACTTCAAAATCCCTCCTCAAGGCTTAAAGCTGTGCGTGCTTCACTCTGGAAGAGCCTTGATATTTTTTTTTCATTGAATCCCAACTATCCTTGGATGTATCTTTGCAAAGAATAGTCTCCAAGATGGGATGATCAATAGCTTGGAAGAGATAGTTCTTCGCTTTCAAGTCTTTGAGCTTTCTAGCTTCAATGTCTATTTGTTGAGCATCTGTCACAGTTGCACCTACTAGTGGTTCTTGAATTCAGGATTCAACCACTGACCAATATTCTTTGGATCGTAAAAAATTTTCCATGAGCATGCTCCGGTGGTCATAGTGACCATCAAAGCGAGGGATGGCGGCTTGCACAAAATTTGAATCATTGGCCATTTGGATAGGGTAGTGGGGAGGAGTAGATAATTTCAGGTGTTTCACTCTCGGGTCTCAGGAATCTTGTAGCTCTGATGCCACTGATAAGAGACAAAAAAGATAACAATACTACTGTGGCCGAAAGTCATATTTAATCATAACCTTTTGGAGCCTTTAAATAGGCAAAATGCACAACTGAAATCCCTAAAGATTAGGTCCCATATCTGGCACCTTCTCCATAACCCTACTACTCCTAAAGACTAGACCATTAAGCCATTAAATCTGCTGACTAAATCATAACTGAAA